TAGCAGTATTAATCTTTTCCCTTCAACTCATTGGTGGTTTTCATAACATCTGTATTCTCGTGACAAACCATTGTGAGAAAGTGCATGTTAGTTTTTGTTGCTAATGTAAGACAGAGCAGAGATTAGTGAGTTAGAGTCTCAAAGAACAACAATACATAACATCAAACAGAAAGTAAAGAAGATTGGTAATGCCCTTGCCAAACTAACCAAAAGAGAGAGGGAGAGAAGACACACATTAATAAATATTAGAGGTGAAAAAAAATGGACAACAAATTCTAGCAAAGTCCTGTGAATCATTAGGGAATGACTTTAAAAACATATCTGCCATCCTCCCCACCCCCACCCCCGCTCCGGCCAGGTTTGACAATGCACACTTTTGATGCAAACATTTGGAGGCAGAGGGAGGTAGATCTCTATGAGTTTGAGTCCAGCCTGGTCTACATAGTGAGTGCCAGGACAACCAGAGCTACATAGTGAGACTCTGTCTTGGGGAAACAAAACAAAACTCTACCAAAACTAAAGACACTAGAAGAAATGGATGAACTTGTAGGTAACTACGGCATCAAGATTAAGTCAAGAAGATATAAGCAAGTACTCGTCTCCTAATGTGTTCTTTCCTGTGCTCCTGTGATTGAGGCAGCAATCTTCCTTTTCTGTGTATAGCACTCCTTTAAGGATCATGTAGTACTGGCTTGGTGGCCATGAACTGCCTTTATTTGTGCTTGTCTTGAAATATTCTTCATTTCTCTACCAGATAGACTGGCTAAGTCATGGTTGGCAGTTAATTAGTTTCAGGACTTAAGACATAAAGATTAGGTTTGTGAAAAGGATTAGCAGATAAAGGTGTCTACGACCAAACATAGTGATCTGAGCTCAGTTCCCAGAACTCATGGTGGCAGGAAAGAGTGGGTTCTCACAGGTTGTCCTCTAGCCTCCACACAGGGACCATGGCGTGGGTCCCCTCCTGCCTCATGCTAAATGAGTAAGTAAATGTTTTCAAAAGGAAGAAGAAATATAGTCCAGGCTCTCCTGGTGAAAGAGCTGATGTTCTTCTGATGTTTCTGCTTAGTAGGTGAGTTGCTCTTTTTCTCTTACAGATTTTAATACTTTATATTCTTTGTGGTTTTGGCATTTTGAATATAATATGTTTTAGAGAAGTTCTTTTCTGGAATGCTTCTTGCGTTTGGATTTACATTTCTTCAGATTTGGGGAATTTTCTGCTATAAAGCATAGGTTCTCTCTGCCTTAGTGTTTAATCATAGCTCCTTCTATCCTCAGAATATGTAGGTTTGGTCTCAGAACCCGTAGTTCTCAGATGCAGTGGTCCTGTTGGGTTTCCCCTCCTTGATATTTGACTCTGCCCTCCATCATGATCTTATTTCCTTATGCTTGGTTGCGTCTGTCAGTGAGGCTTCCTGCTGTGCTTTTGATTAGATTCACTGGGGTTTTTCATTTTTAACATTTCTATCTATCTATCTATCTATCTATCTATCTATCTATCTATCTATTTATTTAGTTTTTTCTTCATTTCAGTTTCCTTGCTGAAGTTTTATATTGCCAATATTCTCTGATTTGTTGGCCTTTCACTTGTGTAGCCAAGTTCCTTTTTTAGGTGTTGGTTAGAATTTACCTGCTTGTTTGTGGCCTTTTTCTAAATAACATGGATTTACCATAAGTGGAAAATTCGTAGGATTTTGACCTTAAGTAAGATTTCATAATTGTTCTCATATAGATTCTATGTCTAATAATTTTGCTATTATTTTATAGTTTTGATCTTGTTAATAAAGGAATCTTTCCATTCTTTTTGTTTATTGTTATAATGAAGAGAAAAGGTAATAGCTTTGGATATTTATTTTAGTGTCCAGTTATGGCACCAAAGACCTATTGATTCCCATAGTTATTTTAGTTCTATTCATCTAAAAGAGACGAGACAAGACAACTATTAGTTCTATTCATCTAAAAGAGACAAGAATCCTTTAGAGTTTTTGGTGTTTACCATATCATCAGCAAAGATATTTTTCATATTTTTCTCTTAACAACAGATATGCTAATTCTCAATTTATTTGCTAGGCAGTTATAGAAAAAATGTTGGGGAAGTGACATAGGAATAGAAAAGGTAATACCAGCATGAAAAAAAGCAAATATGACACCAGGAGCATTAGTTACTCTACATTTTGTATATTATTGCCATTATTTTAATTGATCTTACAGTGTACTGGAGAATTAAGGAGGTAGTCATTTTGATAAATTGCTTTCTACATATTAACTACTATAGAGATAAAATTAAAGCTCAATGGGTGAATTTTCTTTGTGCAAAGTCCATTAAAAACTTGACTTAACATAAAAATTTGAACGTAAAATGTCCAGCAGAGAGTGGTTATTTGTTATATCTAGGATATGGTCATCTCCACAATTCCAATGAAGGTGATTGCCTTTAAAAGAAATGTCTATGGTGCCATTAAGATGTTTCATTTTAAACAAGTTAGGTCATGAATAACTCTTTTTAAGTCTTTCAGTATCGATTAAATGAAATTATGCTATATTTAAAAGATAACCAATAAAAAGAAAAAGTAAGGTTTTCTTAGAAATCTTTGTGGAAGGAGCTGGCTGGCTCAGTCAGTAAAGCAGCTGTCGTGCAAGCCTAGGAGCCTGAGACACGTCAAATGGGGAGCATGAGGCTGGAGAGGTGGCTCCGAAGCTTAAACCACTGGCTGCTCTTGCAGAAGACCTGGGCTTAGTTTTCCAGCCCCACATGATGGCTCACAAGCATCTGTAACTCCTGCTCCTTAGAATGTACATCCTCGTGCCTCTGTGGGCACCAGATATTCACATGGAGCATGTGTATGCATGCAGGGGAAGGGGGAGTAATGTCAGGCATATGGTGCACACTTATCATCTCAATGTTGGGGCAACAGAAGAATCCCTTTGGACTTGCTAGTCAGCCAGAGTAGCATAATTCTTAAGCTTCAGGCCAAAGAGAATCTTAAAGGAGATTGACAGCATTCCCAAAGATGGAGACTGAAGTGGTCCTCTGGCCTCTACAAAGTTCTCTGAGTTAGAGTTTTATAACTTTGAAGTATAGAGATAGCCTTTATGTACCTCGTGGGAGCATCGCCTCAATAAAAGACTTATGGCCAACGAGCTGAGGCAGGATTAGAAGGTGAGCCATCCAGAGAGAGAGAGAAAAGGGGGGGGGGATTCTGAGAAATAGTTGGGTGAGAGATATTTCTTCAGATGTTGATAGAGACAGACTCATGAACCTAAGGAAAGGTAACTAACCATGTGGCATGACTTAGACGAGTTTAAAAAAGATAATTGTGTTATGAACTAGTGGAAACAGTCTAGGCATTTATTCATATATAAAAAGTCTCAGAGTCATTATCTTGGGGAACATAGAAGCTGGGTGGAAAAGCCACAGTAATGGTGAAGGGACACCATGATAAAGGCAACTCTTATAAAGGAAAACATTTAATTAGTCTGGCTTACAGTTCAGAGGTTTAGTCCATTATCATCATGGTGGGAAGTATGGCAGCATGCAGGTAAGCGTGGTGCTGGAAAGGAACTGAGAGTTCTACATCTTGATCCACAGACAGTAGACTATGTCACACTGGGTGGAGAGTGAGCATATAAAACCTTAAAGCCTGTTCCCAGAGGGACACAGTTCCTCCAACAAGGCCATACCTCCTAATAGTTCCATTCCCTATGGGCTACATATTTAAACGCATGAAGGTATGGGGGCCATTCCTATTGAAACCAGCACAGCAATCAAGCACCCATGTGTATGTGCACCCATATATACATGTGCACCTGTGTAAACATGAACATGTACACACACATAGGCATGCATTGAAATTCATTTTAGAAGCCGGGCAGTGGTGGCGCACGCCTTTAATCCCAGCACTTGGGAGGCAGAGGCAGGCAGAGTTCTGAGTTCGAGGCTAGCCTGGTCTACAGAGTGAGTTCAGGACAGCCAGGGCTACACAGAGAAACCCTGTCTTAAAAAACCAAAAAAAAAAAATTCATTTTAGGAAGAATATGAAATATAAAGCCAGGAATTAGAAATTGTCAATGTTAAGTCTTTGTTGATTCGCAGCTTTCAGATAATTCATTGAGTGAGTTCTATATGTGAAAGCATTTGGAGTATAAAGGACAACACACATGTACAATGATATTAGCCAGATAGATATTTCTGCTCTTATCTTTTTACTGTTTGGATTGAGATGACATTTAGATTAGGAAAAATAAAGGAGTTATGGTCATTTGAAGATAAATACTATAGAACAGAGCTAATTGATGCCAGCATTTTCTAACCAGAATTGTTCTTTACATAGGATTGCTTTTTTCCATTGACATATATTTGTTGTACATAATACTAGATTTCATAAGAACATTTTTATAACACTATATAATGTCCTTTGACCATGTCCTCTCATACCCCTTGTGGTAGTTTTGTCAATTTGAAACAATCTGAGTTATCTGAGGAGGGAATCTCAATGAGAGATTATCTATCATCACTTGGCCTATAGGTGTGTCTGTGAAGATTAGATTAGTGGAAAGGCCGCCCACTGTGGGTGACATCAGTCTCTGGACAGAGCGTCCTGGATTGTGTAAGAGCAGAGAAAGCAAGCTGAGCAGTAGCTCATTCCTCTCTGCTCTTGACGGCGCGTGTGATTTGACTTCAAGTTTGCTATGGTGTGAGCCTGGCACTGTGGGCCAAACAGACCCTTTTTCCCTCAAGTTGCTTTTTCAGGGTATCTTACTACAGCAACAGGAAATGAAAATAAGACACCCTATGTCCTCTGCTTTGTCATCTCTGCTCCTCCTATTAGTCCCCAACCTGTAGCAAGGTGACATTTTAAATAGAAAGTATTCTATTGAATCTGACTTTTAGTGATTTACTGTTCCTGAGTAACTGCTTGGGAATACTGGTAATTGTAGTCTGTTGCTTACTGTTTTACTAAAGTAACTCTGACAATTTTTTGTTTACCTGTTTGATATAGGTAATATTTGTGAAGATTTATGTGTCAGTCATGGTCCAATGAGTTTAAGGGAACTGGAGTTGCAGTCTGATTCTAACCATATTCTTCCCACAACACATGCAGCAACAAAGGGCAGTGATGGTAATTTACCAGAAGCAACTGAAGACTTTTCTCAGGTACCAAACAAGAACATTTGTACTTTACTTAAAATAAGGATTATAAACTCTGTGAGTTCAAGGAGAACCAGGGCTACATAGGGAGACGGTGTCTCAAAACAAACAAAACCAAAAACAGACTTGATTTCAATCCCTAAAATACTTTAGGGGGATGGGAGAAGCAGAGACAGAGTCTTACTATGTAGTTTTAGGTGCTCTCAAGGTCCCAGTGTAAACCAGGATGGTTGAAAACTCAGAGAAATCCTCTTGCCTCTGCGTGCTGGGATTAAAAGATTAAGGGTGTGCCTCAACACACTCAGCATCTTCTAGAACGTTCTTAAAGGAGGAAGGAGAGAACCAACTCCACAAGTTGTCCTTTGACCTACACATGAACACTTGTTAGCGCAGTTCCCTGCCCATACAAAATAGATGAAATTTTAAAAAAAATAATAACTGTATAAAATGTCTGACACCTAGTTAGTCACTTATAACTCTGCTATAAAAGCCAGCTCAGTGATTTGTGCTGATTAAGTATTTCATGTTTATAGCTTTAAAATATATATAATATGTTCCACAAAAGCATAACAATTTTATAATAAGTGAAACCAATAGCCCATGAAACCTTGTATATTAAAAAAATTAGGATGCTTGTTCTCGAAGATTTTAATCTAGATAAATATTCATGGTAATAAATATAGTTTTATATTCATGGTTAGCAATTTATTCCTCATTGTAAATTAATTTATTCAATCAGTATGCATGATATTTTACAACATTCTATGATATCAAGGAAGAATATTAAAAATACAAGATAAAAATTGCTTATGGAATACAATATTATGTAGGGTTTGTTATTGCTAATCTGTGTTCAAACAAAGATCAGGAAAAACTAATAAATATGCAAATAGTGTCTGTATTAAAAAAAAATATTTTTGTGACTAAAAGGCAAGAACTTCCTGGATGCAAAAGCAAAAGTCCCATTGATGATAAAGAGAACTAAATAATTAGTTTTTATCAAAAATAAGAACTTGTACTCCCCAAACACGATACTAAGAGAATGAAAAGTAGCAGAGTGGGAGAAAAGTTAGCTCAGAGCATAGAGAGAATCAGAGTTAAATGTGAGTACAGCGCATCTCAGAATGCACAGAAGATCTGCACACATCCTCATCCAGAAGCTAGTGGAAGGTGAGTCAGCAGGCAGTGGTGTGAAACACTAGGAAATGCAGAGAGGAGCAGAGCAGGCGGCCTCTACAATCTCACTAGAAGGCGAAGGCGCAGAGGCTCTCCTGCGTCTGCTGGCAAGGATGTGGAACAGCTGAGCTCCAGCACATTGCTGGCTGGGAATGCAGACTGGTATAGACATGCAGCCGACACGTGACGTATGTGTGTTACTTCCTAAGAAAATACAGAACAGATGAGTGTTCATAGGATCTTTGTATTGTATTAGCCCCAACTTGTAAGCAACACAATGTTCAACAAATGGTGACTGAACAAAGTATATTACATTATATACTTTAGAATACCACTATTCCCAGGACACTATGCGTATAGGAACTCTTGAGATATACAATAATTTTATTTATTTATTTATTTATTTATTTACTTATTTACTTTTTATTGATTCTTTGTGAGTTTCACACCATGCACCCCAGTCCCACTTCTCTCCCCATCCCCCATCACCTTTGGCTCTTGTAACCTCCGACCCCCAAAATAATAAAAAGTACAAACAGATAAAAACAAATCATAGAAAACATTTCATCACTGTAGCTGTAGTATGTCACAGCGTGTCCCACAGTATATCCCTCTGTCCACACATTTTCACTTGTAAATCTTCATTGTAGTGAGTCATTGGTCTGGCTCGAGATCTCTGGCTTTTGTGACGCCATCAATATTGGATCCTCATCAGTCTCCTCCTCATTATTCTGTTGTTGCTCTGTGTTGCTCTGAGAGGCCCTGCAGCTTTGGGCCCCTCACATGTTTCTGTTCACAGATGATACAGATTTGGGGGTTAGGCCAACTCAGAGCCCTGGATCTGGGCCTGTATAGTAGCTGAGCTGGTCAGCCTGCTGGCTCTTCCTTGTCCACACCACCAAGGCAGGCAAACTTGCCACCGCTGCTCCAGCTAAGCCATCCATTGGTGCCATCAGCAGGAGGCAGGGTCACCTCTCATGCTCTCATGCCCTGGGGCCAGCTCAGCTGCACCTAACCCTCCAGAGCCAGCTCTGCTGTGCTGCCTAGTCAATGCACAGGTTCCACTCTCCCAAGTGCTGCAGCCTGTGAGGGGCTGGGCCAGCTCTTCCATTCTCACTCTCAGAGCTGGCTCCCCTGTGCCTTTGCTATCAGGGCCAGTTCCACTGTGTTGCTGAGATGCAAGACCTGCTCTACCAAGTACTATAGCTATAGCTAGTGAGAGGACAGGGGTAGCTCTCTCCCACTCTCATGCCCTTGGGCCAGCTATCCTGACTACTGCAAGTGGTAGGTGTTGGGGGAACAAGAAGGCATCACTCCTGTACCCATGCCACCTCATGGCACATGAGTAGTGGGCCAGCTCTCCCATGCCTTTGGGGCAGGCTCACCTGTGCCCCCTCCACCAGGGCCAGTTCTACGGTGCTGCTCAGGTGAGGTGCAGGGCCCACTTTCCCAGGTGCTGCAGCAGGCAAGGAACTAGGCCAGCTCACCACCTCTCATGACCCCAGGGCAAGTTTTCCCAACTGCCACAAATGGGGGGACTTTAACCCCCCAAAACTATGTTGAGTAAAAGGTAGTACCTTCTCCCTGCAAAAAATATACATAGATTCCATTTAATAAAATTCTACCCAAATCCAGTCATGATCACTTGTAGTCGATGCTCATGAGGCTGAGTCAAAGGACCACATGTTTGAGACTTGTAAAATAAAATTAAAAAAAAAAAAAGAGAAGAGAAGCTAGAAAATGCAGTCTAGTCTGTAACAAAGCATTTCAGTTGTAGGCTTTGAATAGTGGGAAAGATGGTGTGGGTGCCTTTGTTGGCCTGACTTCCACCTGCATCTGTCACTCTGGAATCACAGGTGTCGTAAATCCTGGCACCTCTGCATTACCTCAGAGGTGTGATGCTCACAGAAGGGATGGACTTCTTCATACTCTCACACCATGAACTGTGTGTGCCTTAAGTCCAATCATGAAATAGCTGTTTAAAAGCAAATCAAATTCTCGAATGTTTATATAATAGAACCAATTTGACTTTTAACTTAAAATAATATTATGGCTTATTTCTTAAATTCTTTAGTACCAACAAAAGCAAGATACAGACATTAAACAAGTTGAACACAAGCCAATACAAAGACATCTAATCTGTGTAAGAAATAAATCTGACAGTTCACTTTCACAACATCAAGGTAAGCTATTTTTGTATCAGATAGTGATATTTAAATAATCATGTTCATTAAATATTTGATTATATGTATTAGATCAAACTTGATATCCCGATAATGAACAAATATATAACAAAAATATTTTTATATGAATCTTATTCTTGTCTCCGGGAGTTGTTTTCTCTCATTTAGTCTATTTATATGAAGAATCTTATATTTGACTATAAGATTTGTTTGCTTTTTTATTTAATTAATAAACACTATTTCTAATAGGGTTTTAAAACCCTTAGCCACTGTTTTTCCCTTTAAGGTTATTCCCATAATATGCTGTGTTAAGATCATTCGTGTTAAGAGCTGTCAGGAAAATGCAAGTTCAAACTACTTCACTTCAATCAGAATAGTTAACAGAATGAGTGAGCAACCAACAAACTCTGGCAAAGATGTGGGGAAAGAGCAGCCCTTGTCTACTACTGAAAGTGTAAACTGGTGCAAACCAGTATGGAGGTTTCTCACAAAACAAAAATAGAGCTTCCTGTATGTCTGAACCATACCAGTCTTGGCCTTATACTCAGAGGGCCCTAAGTCAGCATATCATGGATATTGTTACACATCCTTGTTTCTTGCTCAGTGTTCACTGTAGTTGGGGAATGGAGTCAGCCTTTCTGTCCATTAACAGATGAATGATTTAAAAGATGATACTTGAACACTCTGGGGTCCTGTCCAGCTGTAAAGAAAACTGTAGAGACTGGGGAAGGTGGCCCAGTGGGTGATGTGCTCGCCGCACGAGTGAGGGCTTGAGTTTTGACCCCCACTCCACATCACAGCCAGATGGGTCAGTGAGTACTGGTAGCTCCAGCACTGAGTGGCAGAGACAGGAGTATCCTGGAGATTCATTAGTGTGTCAGCCTAGACAAACCAGTCTCAAAAAATAAGGCGGAGAAGGGATTAAGGAAGATTCTCTGACCTTGTCTATGTCTGGTCTTGTACACAAGCACCCACCAGCACACTTAGTCCCCATCCCACATACACTAAAAAGAAAAAGGAAATTAGGACATTTTCATGAAAGTGGACAGAAATGGAGCTTATATTACGTGAAGTAACGAAGACTCAGACGTATATTACATATTTTCTCCCTTATGCAGGCCCTAGATTATGATTTCTGTTCATGTATATGTCTCAATAACTATTCTGTTGCTGTGAAGAGACAGCATGACCAAGACAACTTACAGAAGAAAGCATTTTATTGGAGGTTTGCTTATAGTTTCAGAGACTTAGTCCATTATCATCATGGCAGGAGGCATGACAGCAGGAAGTCAGACGTGGTGCTGGGGCAGTAACTGGGAGCTTCCTCCTGGTCCACAGATAGAGAGAGACACTGGGCCTGATGGGCTTTAGAAACCACCAAGCCCACCCTAGTGACATACCTCCTCCAACAAGGCCACGCTTTAAGTAAAGCTACACCTCCTAATCCTTCTCAAATAGTTCTAGTAATTGAGGATCAAACATTTCAAACATATGAGCCTATTCATAGGCCATTCTCATTCAAATCATTACTCTGTGTGTGTGTGTGTGTGTGTGTGTGTGTAATTTATGTATTTTCTTTTAATGTTATGAATGTTTTACCTAAAGGTATGTCTACACCAGGTTTATCAGGTTTGTGCCGCTAGCCCTTGAGGCCAGAAGACGGTGTTGATCTCTGGAACTGAAGTTACAAACCACTATGAGTCTCAGTGTTGGTGCTAGGAATCAAACCCAGGCCCTCTGGAAGAACAGCAAATGCTCCTAATTGCTGAGTCATGATTTTAGTCCAATTCAGTATCTTTTTAACCTAATACATTGAGGTCACATTTTAGAATCTAAAGAAAATTGGCCTGTTTTGGAAGATCATAAAATCAGTGCCAACCTGTGTTAAATAAAGAATTTTAGGGTAGTTTAAGTCATATAGCAGGACCCTATCTCAAAACACAACAAGGAAAATGTTGCCTATAAAACTCTTCTAACGATGATTCTAAGATTAATCATGACAAGATACAGATATGGCAAATGAACATTCCTAAGATTGTAAGGCTGACTCAAAGCTCTCCTGAGTGTTGTAAACCATTCATGGCCAGTATAATTCAGTAACTTTAGGGTTTTTAAAATAAATGTCTTAAAATTAAATAATTGTGTTTTCTTGAGAGATCTTGCCTATAATCAACAATCATTTCCCTCTACACTTAGGGAAATATCTTTGGTAAGATTTTGAGCCTGCATCTCTGGCACTGTGACATTGTTTTTAGCTACAATGCATGTGTATGGCCAGAGGATAGCAGTAATGATATGTTTGTTGACTAAAGATCATTGTGGAAAAATAAGAGAAACCATGCTATTAGCTATTAATAACTAAGAGGAAATTTTTGTTTTGTTTTGAGATACGATTTACTGTGTATAGTTGAATGGAGGTCTCTATCTAGACCAGGCTAGCCTTGAACTCACAGAAATGCACCTACCTCTACTTCCTCAGTGTAGGGATTAAAGGCTTGTGCAGTTATGCCCAGCCTAAGAAGAAGTTTTACTTAGAAAATTACCCAAGGTTAGCTTACTGTTATTGCATCTAATTTTACATCTAATAATATAACTGGGTTTAGTGGCACCTGCCTTTAATCACAGCACTTGGGCGGCAGAGGCAGGTGGAGCTCTGTGAGTTTGAGGCCAGCCTGGTCTACACAGGACATTCAGAGCTGCTGTAGTAAGACCCAGTCTTGGAGAAAAAAAAAATTAGGCAAATAGGCCTGTTTTAGCTTTAACTATAAATAAGGCATTTGCATATATATAAAGTTTCATTCTGCAATTAATGTATATCTCTCTGTACAGAGTACTCTTGAATGAAAGTCATTGCCTTGGCACACATAGTCAGGACATTTTCCCATAAAATGTGTGCACTTGGTTTATTTCCCTCCTCTTCTGAAATTCTGAAACATTTTCAAACATGTCAGAATAGGAGTTAGAGTGCCAGAATAATCGGAGACCCTTGTATGTAACCTTGGGTGACCCTGAAGGACTTCAGTCCTCTCTCTTGTACTCAGAAATCTTAAGACACGGGAATTTGCCCCATCACACGGGGATTAAAGCCACATCTTTTCTGGCAAGTAAATGGTTGTAAGATTACTCGAATCCTAATAATGGCTACTTTACAGTGGAGTCCTCATGTATTTTACACTGAAATGCATAGTAGCTTACTGTGTGTCTATAAGGAAATGAAGCTAATTACTAAAAGTTACATTTCCTTCAGTGAGCTAACTCTCACTGAAAGTTGATACAAGACAAGGTGAGACATAAGCTCTTCCATTGTATGGCTGAAGAATTGCCAGGACCTTGTTTTATTTCCAGCTTTTAACATAAAAGAAAAATTCATCAGTGTGACAGGTGACATGTTTGGGGTATCATAAGAATAGGAGCTTTTCAAACCAGATATTGTGGCAAATGCCTACAGTCCCAGCAGTTAGTAGACCAAGGCAAGCGGTTAGTCTGGTCTAGTGTCTAAGCAAACCAGTACTAATGTTACTGATGGCATTCTTTCATTTGTGGCTGAATGTGCTGGGTATGTTCTTTGTCCCCTGGACCAAGGCTACCACTCTTGAATTAGTGTACTAGTCACATGGCCAGCATGCTTACATGAAAGCTACTTCTTCAAAAAGTGACTTCCATTTTATTTTTCCCTCTTTTGCTCTATGTCTTAGTGTTTTGTTGCTATGAAAAGACACTATGACCAAGTCAACTCTACTTAAAAAACAAAAAAGCATTAATTAGGGGCTTGCTTACAGGTTCAGATGGTTAGTCCATCGTCATAGCAAAGACTGTGGAGCCATGAAGGCATGGTGCTGGAGAAGTAGTGAAGAGCTACATCCTGATCCACCGGCTGCACCAAGTGGGAAGGTTGAGCCTAGTGCGAACTTTTGAAACCTCCAAGCCAGTCCCCAGTGATACACTTCCTCCAAGGCCACACAGGAGCCAATGGCAGACATTTGTATTCAAACACCACACTTTGACTTTATAAGTTCTCTTTGACCAGTTTTATTTTTCTGTTCAGGTTAACTAATATAAAATGAGAAACCAGTTTAAATCCACTTATTTATGATGAACCAGGGAACAATTAAGTTGTACAAAGTAAGTGTGGTAAAATCAACACTTTAAAAAATATTTTCTTTGGGTTTCTCAAAATATTTTAAGATTATAAGCAAGATTTAATGAGTAGAAGAGCAAATATACCATGCTACAGTCAGTGGTGGAGATTTCAGCTGTACGTTTTAAGATTAAGTGCTAGGGTAGATTGGGTTGTCAGAGTTACTTGAGAAACACAATTGTTCTGTTTTCTTTTTTTTTTCCAAAGGGGAGAGGGTTTATTCAGGACAGAGAGCAAAGGTAGGGAGAGAAACGGGAGAAGATGGTGGAGAAAGGAGAGAGAGAGAGGAGAGAAGTGGAGGCCGGCCATGACCACATGGAGAGAGGGGGAAGGGAAGTGAGGAAGGCCGAGGAGAAGCTAGAGGCAAGAGAGTAAGAGAGTTGTTCTGTTTTCTTATTTGTAGACTATGCGCTCTCTCTCTCTCTCTCTCTCTCTCTCTCTCTCTCTCTCTCTCTCTCTCTCTCTCTGTGTGTGTGCGTGTGTGTGTGCACGTGTGTGTGTGTGTACTTAAAGAACCCTACACTTCTTTGGCTTTATCCTCCAAGTTTGTGTGCTGGCCACCTTACACTGTTCTATCACAGCTTGTGATTCTAACTCAGTGTAGGAGAATTATCAAACACAAAAGTTTCCATCTATTTAAAAGATGTTTCTGTGCAAGCAAAATAACTTACTAATTTTGCCTTTGTAATTGAAATGCAGCTAAAGTACAATCCTGACCAGAATTACCATTATTTTAGCAACTTTAAAACGATATCTGAACTTTTTTTCCAATCTTTCTTAAGGTATGGTGGCCATTTCAGTTCACATATGTGTAGTGGGAAGTATAGCTCAGTGTTAGGCCAACAGCCTAGTGCACAGGCCC